GAGCAGACATGGCCCCTTGTTTACATGGGTCACCTCATGTCATAGGAAACATCTCAGACTAATCTTAGAAGGAAAGAAACCTGACAGATCCCTGGAGCCAGAAGCAAGCAGACCAATCAAGATCAGTTAATGTAAAAGAAGCCGATTGTTGCGTCTCATGTGGGCCAGTTTGACCTGGAAGGAGGAGGAGGGGTTCCTCTTTAACTCGTGTCATAAAGGAACCCCCTTCTCACGACACGCAGGCTCCCTCATCCTGCTATTGCAAATGCCCAACCCCACGGCAGGGAAAACCAGCAGGGAATTACTCGAGAAGCAAATTATTCACTGCTGCTTAACCAGACGCCAAACATAATTATGCCCAATGGCCTTCAGCCAAGCTACCAGTGGGTTTCTGATCTTCTTAGATCTTTAGAAGCTAAGTGGCATGAGATGGTGCACATGCACTTGGATCAGAGCCGCGAGAGCCCCTGCTGGTAAATGGATTAAGGGAACTTGAGCAACGTCCTACGAGGCAGGAATGAAGCACCGCTAGCTCCTCGCCTCACCGCGTGGGCTCACGACAGGGCTTGCCGCGCTGGCTGCCCTCCTCATGGGGCAGGCATCGCCAGGGTCTTGCCAAGGGGCTTCCTGGACTCGCTCTCCTTGAGCCTGCAAGCAGTAACGAAAGCAAGGAGCGTCGAGCATTGCCCGCCTGCTTCGCTCTCTCCTGCCTGGCAGTTGTGCAGATGCAGCTGAGGAGAGCAGGGGAACAAACAGCCAACAGGTGGCGAGTTGCTGGTGAGCCCAGTCACAGGCGGAGGTCCTCTGTGGGAACCATACCCCATAACACCTGTGGCCAGCGTTTCTTCCCACTTCTGGAAGTGGGAGAAAAGTCCAGAGCAACTTGACAGAGCCAGCATCCTCGAAAGGAGGAAGCACTAGGGAGCTGTGATCGCCTATTGTAACTCGCCTGGTTGCCCTAGGCGAGCAGGTCTTCCACAAAGGCAAGCAAGCAGGTTGGCTGTCCCTCTTCCATCAGGCCTGCTGAGAGAAGGATTAAAAAAAACTTAGAGAGACAGACAAACTGGCTGGGGATGTTTTGCATTAGCTCTTTCTCCAGGTGATGGTGGCACAGGATGCACAACTAGGGTGCAGAATCTAGCCCTGTTGCACAACAGCCTTTGCACTTGCGTGCGTGCACAGACACAGACACACGCCCCGCACCCACTCCATTGACCAGACAGAGGAACTTTGACCTGGAACTGGAGTTGGGTTTAAATGGCTCCTTTATTATTCAGCTCTGCAGCAGTTCCAACGCCCAGGTTTGCCATGCGAGTGTATGGAAACCAAGCCCAGAATATGAATATGGTGAAGTTGGAGGTGCGGAAGGCAGGAACGGGCACCTGTCTAGAAGCATCCTTTCCACACCTGACATATATAAACTGGACGTTTCAGCCATTTAATGGAGGCTTCATCATTAATAAATGTTTGCTATGCCAGCTTAGAGATGTCTCCTTTGATTATTTTACACGAAATGAATAGCCCCAGCTCGTTTTAACGTTTGGTGCCTGGGAGCCAATTCCCCCTCCCAATCTCTTTGCATGATTAAACATTTATCATTTGTAATGGATCGCCGCTGCTCCGGCATTGCTCTCTTTTTTTAACAGGCGGCCCTCTCGTTTATTGATAAACTGACCCAGGCAAATGAGAAAGAGGATATGGGAAGAATGATGGGGCACGAGGCGGCTGCAGGAAGGCAGAGAGAAAGCGGAAATGGATGGCCCGAAGGGATGGGAATGAAAGTTCACGCAAGAGCTTAGGCGTGCGACTTGGCTTGTGCCTTGCGAGGGCAGCCGCTGGGCTGAAAAATGCGCGAGGATCTATTCCCATAGCACATGGCAGGTCGCTGCTGTAAAGGTCTTGAGGCCCAGGGATGGCAGCCCCAGCAGCTGGAAGCTCGCCTCGTAGCCCGTCAAGGATGGGAAGCGCTCAGGCCTCACAAACAGTCGTTTGCTGTTCAGTTGCAAAGTTGTGCCCGACCCCTCGCGACCCCGTGGACAACCGTCCTCCAGGTCTCCTGTCCTCCACCATCCCTCGGAGTCCACCCAAGCCCACCGCCCCAGCCACCTCATCCTCTGCCACCCCCTCCTCCTTTTGCCGCCAATCAGTTCCAGCATCAGGCTCTTCTCCAGGGAGTCCTTCCTTCTCATTAGGTGGCCAAAGCATTTGAGTTTCATCTTCAGGATCTGGCCTTGTACAGAGCAGTCAGGGCTGAGTTCCTTTAAGATTGGCTGGTTTGATCTTTTTGCAAGGCAGTATGAACATGGACAAAGTCACACCTGGTGTGGCGAAAGCAGGCAGAAGGGCCTGTTTCTCCCCATCCCGTAAGACCAGAGCCCGCTGGGGTCATCCCAAGACGCTGATGGGCAGGGCAGATAAAAGTGTGACGCAGTGTTAAGAGGACTGAGTAGGACTCAGTTCCCTTTTAGCCAAGAAGCTCACGGGGTGACTTGGGCCAGTCACAGACTCTCAGCTGACCTACCTTAGTATTTATTTTTTTTCACTCCCCTTCTCTGCCGCCCCTTAACATGCCTGTACTCTGACAGCAGCATATAAATACGATCCATAAACCAGGAAAAATGGATAACCACAATAAAATTAGTAAATTAGGAAACCATTCACATAATAAAATTATATAAAACTATACACACATGACCAAATGCAACCGATCAGCTAGCCACCAAAATTAAACCGATTCGATTAACCAAAAGCTTGTTTGCACAAAAAAGTTTTTACCTGGCATCGAAAGGAAAGCAAAGCTCAACCTGGTGCCGGATTATTTTGCACTACAACTCCCATCATCCCTGCCTGGGGCCAAAGGGAACTGTAGTCCCCATCACCTGGAGCAAGCTGGGGAAAATCGCTGCACAACCACTGCACTGAACACCATGAAGAGCATCCAGTAAACTCAAAGAATCTTTCCAAAGTCAGGGATGTTCAGTGTGGAAGCTCCGATACCAGAATAGCTGCTGCAGATCCTTCCATTCGCATGGACGGCTTGCTCCCGGTTCCCCTTGAGAGGGCTTGCTGGAAGATGGTGGGGTGTACAGAACTCTTCCCCCTCTCATATGCAAACCATCGCTCCCCAAGCGCCTGGGACGCTTCTCCCCAAAGCCACCTAGAAAGAAGTGTCAATGCTTCTTGCGCATGCGTCGTCGCATAAGGCTGCTCTCACGCTGAACCCAACTTGGACAGCCGCCCCATGAAGCTGCACAGGGGAGCTTTCTGCACGAGAAACGGACAATGTAGTTCAGCGCTCCTGAACTCCAAGCCAGACCAACTGGGCTGAGCGCTGGTTGGAGGGGTGGAGAGGCCACGTCCCAGTGGAGGTGGTCCGGGCTTCTTTCCATGCGTCGGCGGCGGCTATCTTTGCATGTTGCCTGTATCTCCAAATAGTTATCAGCATTCAGATGTATCATTTATTTGCCTGGTCTGAGACAAAGGGCTTAAGATCATGTAACTTCCTGGCTGTTCCTTTAAGAGCAAACGAAACAACCACACCAGGCCAAGAGACTAGAATAGCATCACATTTAGTTGGGCCCTCCGGACATGAATCACAGCGAAAGGGCTGCCTCTGCCCAGTTCAGTTCCTCTCCAGGCTGTTTTTTCCCCACTGTGAAGTCCATCTCAACTCATTTCCACATCAAGTGTTTTTAATTATTATTTTTTTAGTTCATCAAATGTGTTTTGGTTCACTTTGTGATTGCATTTACCCTAATCAAATTCAGTCTGCACACATTTTGCCTGGCGTATGCATTTTCCCATCATGCAGGTTTTCATATTATTTTCACAAGCATGAGCGTTATTTATTTGTTAACAATATTTATACCCTGTCCTTTATAAGACGTCCCAGGACCCTTTCCCCAAATATTTCCCTGTTTAATCGAAAGGTTATGTCCAACATTTGGGGAAGAGCAAATACCATCAGTTAATTGTTTTGACTCACATGTTAATCAACCAATTGCAAATTTGGTGCCTCACATTGAAATACAAACTGAAATGCTCCTCCCTCCCCATTTCTTTGCTTAAATTTCAAGACTTCTTGGTGGTCACTAGCCAAATTATTCAAAACTTTTGGAATTAACTTCTCCTCCAACTCAGACTGATCTAGCCCAGGCATGCTGATTTGCAATCTGCCATGTTTGGTTTCCCTTTGGGAGCTGCACTCCAGGGTGGGCGGAGCCAAAGGCAAGAGGGGTGGAGCCAGAGTGCCAGCATATTTTAGCTTAAAGCTCTTACTGGCAGCAGCTTGGCCTTTGGAGAAGCACTTCTGCCTCTTGGAAGGGGCAAGAACTGCACAAGAGCTGGGAACCCACTGCTGGGCTGGGGAAAGCGGGCTTGGCATTCTTGGGACCCCCAAAAGGCCAGCCTGAAACAGCAGAAGGGCTGCAGAAGCCCCATGCCGTAGACTCTGCAACTCCCGGCCCCGATGTTTTCTTCTGCTTTGACCGATGCATAGCACAACCTTTTTGTCTCTCTGCTTCTGTGTTGGCAGTGACCCGACGAGCACAACATGAGGCGAAGACACACCGGGAGCACACGCCATGGAGAAGCAGCCCAGCTCCAGAGCAGCGGCCGGCCGGAAGAGGCACCCCGGAAGCGCTTGTGCTGAGCAGAAGTGGGGGCCCCGTCCGTGAGCCGGGCCGTCTTCTCCCAAGCTTCCTCCTCGTCTGGCGTGTCCTTCAAGGGAAAGCTGCACGATGGGGGAAGAGACAGCCCCGCCGGAGGACCGTCGCTAAAGCTCCGGCTGGTGGGACCTGGAAAAGCCCTGCTCACGCGGCGTGGTTTTTCCCCTCGGGACATTTGCCTTCATGGTGAGAAACCATGGAGAGAAAAGGGAGACCAGCGCGGCTTCCTAGGAAACACTAGCCCACGGCAGGGCTGCACCGCGAGAGGAGCGAGGCCCCCACCCCCTTCCATCCGGCCACGGGGAAAGCCCCCTCTCCGAGCGGCCCTTCCCAATGGCAGGCCACCAGTGGGCGGTGAGGTCGGCTCTGTGCGCGTGCATGGTGGCCGTGTCCCTGCTGCGCGTGGGCGAGGTGTGGGCCGACTGCTGGCTGATCGAGGGGGAGAAGGGCTTCGTGTGGCTGGCCATCTGCAGCCAGAACCAGCCCCCCTACGAGTCCATCCCGCAGCAGATCAACAGCACCATCCTGGACCTGCGGCTGAACGACAACAAGATCAAAAGCGTCCAGTTCTCCTCCCTCAGCCGCTTCAGCAACCTCACATACCTCAACCTGACCAAGAACGAGATCTCGTACATCGAGGACGGTGCCTTCTCCGGACAGTACAACCTGCAGGTGCTGCAGCTGGGCTACAACCGCCTGAGGAACCTGACTGAGGGGGTCCTCCGGGGGCTGGGGAAGCTGGAGTACCTCTACCTCCAGGCCAACCTCATCGAGACGGTCACCCCCAACGCCTTCGGGGAGTGCCCCAGCATCGTGAACATCGACCTGTCCATGAACAGGATCCAGCGGCTCGACAGCAACACCTTCCGGGGCCTGAGCAAGCTCTCCGTCTGCGAGCTCTACAGCAACCCGTTCTACTGCTCCTGCGAGCTGCTGGGCTTCCTCCAGTGGCTCGAGGGCTTCACCAACATGACGCGCACCTACGACCGCATGCAGTGCGACTCCCCGCCGGACTACTCCGGCTACTACCTGCTGGGCCAAGGGCGGACCGGCTACCGCAACGCCCTGGGCATGCTCTCCTCGCTCTGCACCGGCGGCCCCTACACCATGCCCCCCTATTTAATGCCCCCCAAGAAGCTGGCGACCACCGCGCCGCCAGAGAGCCCGTGCCCGGAGGAGGAGTGCTTCTCTGGCGACGGCACCACCCCACAGGTCTCGCTGCACACGCCCGTGATCGACCCAGGCCTGTACCCGACCATGAAGGTGAAGCACGTGACGCACAACTCCGCGGTGCTGAGCGTGCAGATCCCGGTGCCCTACAGCAAGATGTACACCCTGGCCCAGTTCGAGAACGGCCGCTACAACATCCTGGCCAAGCTCTTGAAGAAGAAGGAGGACATCGAGCTGACGGACCTGGGCCCCAACGAAGACTACACCTACTGCGTGATGTCCTCCAGCCGGGTCTCCAGGTACAACTACACCTGCCTCACCATCAACCTCAACAAGCAGAGCAGGGAGGAGCCCTTGCCCAGCCCCTCGACGGCCACGCACTACATCATGACCATCTTGGGCTGCCTCTTTGGCATGGTGATCGTGCTCGGGGTGGTGTACTACTGCCTGCGGAAGAGGCGCCACCAGGAGGAGAAGCACAAGAAAGCCGCCATCAATATGAAGAAGACCATCATCGAGCTGAAGTACGGGCCAGAGATGGAGGCGACCAGCATCTCCCAGCTGTCCCAGGGCCAGATGCTGGGCGGGGAGGCCATGACGCGCATCCCATACCTCCCCTCGGTGGGAGAGGTGGAGCAGTACAAGCTCATCGACAGCAGCGAGACCCCAAAGACGACCAAGGGCAACTACATGGAGGTGCAGACCAAGGAGCCGCCGGAACGGAGGGACTGCGAGCTCCCCCTGCCGCCGGACAGCCAGAGTTCGGTGGCCGAGATCTCCACCATCACCAAGGAGGTGGACAAGGTCAACCAGATCATCAACAACTGCATCGATGCCTTGAAATCGGAATCCACCTCCTTCCAGGGGGTCAAGTCGGGGGCAGTGTCCACTGCCGAACCTCAGCTGGTGCTCTTATCCGAACAGATCCCCAGCAAACACAGCTTCCTCACCCCGGTCTACAAGGAGAGCTACGCTCACCCGCTGCAGAGGCACCACAGCATGGAGGGGCCCCCCAAGCACTCCAGCACCTCTTCCAGCGGCTCCATCCGGAGCCCCCGATCCTTCCGCTCCGACGGCGCCGGCCACAAATCAGAAGCCAAATACATCGAGAAGACCTCTCCGACCACAGACACCATCCTCACTGTGACGCCGGCGGCCGCGATCCTCCGGGCGGAGGCGGAGAAGGTCCGCCAGTACAGCGAGCACCGGCACTCGTACCCAGGGTCCCACCAGGGGGAGCAGCACGACAGCGTGGGCGGGCGCAAGCCCTCCATCTTGGAACCCTTGACCAGGCCTCGCCCCAGGGACCTGGCCTACTCGCAGCTCTCCCCCCAGTACCACAACCTCAGCTACTCCTCCAGCCCGGAGTACACTTGCAAACCGTCCCACAGCATCTGGGAGCGCCTCAAACTGAGCCGCAAGCGGCACAGAGACGAGGAGGAGTACATGGCCGCAGGCCACGCCCTGCGGAAAAAGGTCCAGTTTGCAAAGGACGAGGACCTCCACGACATCCTGGACTACTGGAAGGGCGTTTCTGCCCAGCACAAGTCCTGAACCTCCACTCGCTCGTGACTCAACCCTGGACCAAAAGGAGCCAACGCGGACAGGAAGCGGCAGCGGTTATTTTTAATCCAGACTTGTCTTAAAAAACCCAACAATGAATAAATAACTTATAAGAATCTATAATTATTCTATATACTGTATCAGAGAGAGGGAGAGGGAGAGAGAGAGAGGAGAGAGAGAGGGCGGTATTAGACTCTCTCGTGGATGTGGGATCCACACCAAATTTGAAAAGAGAAGGGAGAGAAAAACAGGGGGATTGCAGACCAAGTCCATATGGAGTGAAAACAAGTTTTCTTTTATTTTTTAAAACAACAACGAAACCGATAATTGCATTATTTAGGAAGGAAGGAAGGAAGGAAGGAAGGAAGGAAGGAAGGAAGGACAGAAAAGCAAAAGCAAAAGCAAAAGCAAAAGCAAAAGCAAAAGTGTGAGAAAGCCAGGCAGAAAAGAAAAGGAGAAAGGAATGGCTATGCCTGCATCTCACAACTCCTTATTCTGTGATCTTTGCGGACCCTGTACAGTTTTGTTCTCTTCCTTTCTGTAACCAAAAAGTAAAAACATGAAAAGGGTAAATCAGAAGAAGTTAGCCGAAATAAAAGAGGCAACTCTTTGGGCCTTTTGCAAACGGAGTCTTCCAGTTTAGACGATTGGGGGTCTGAAGTCTCATGTGTGCGTTTTTGGGGGGATGGAAAGGGTCTGTCGCAACATCACATTGTAAAACTGATGCCATTCTATTGTACAGAGAGAAAAGAAATTCTATATTTGCAAATGTTTGCTGTATAATGAGAAAGAGAGAAAGAGAGAGGAAAAATATTACATCTACTAAAAGAGATATATATATCTATATATTCACCTGTTTGTACCAGGTTTTAATCATGGATTTTAGAAAAAAGAAGAAAAAACCCGACCACTGGGCTTCGTTTGAAGTTTTTCATTTTTGTTTTTCGGTTGAGTTCGTTGTTCGCTGTGGAAGGGGTGGGGTGTCTCTTGTTTTCTATGATTGTTTGTGACTTCCGTTCTGGTCCATTCCAAGTGCACTGAGAAAAAGACACATTCTGTAAGAGAAAATCAGAGTTGCTCTCGTTATTCAAGGGTCAGTGGGACACCAGCTTCTGTAATTAGGAAAGGGGGGAGCCGAAGGCGAGAAGGCTTGCTCAGTGCTAAGATGCCCAGCTTCCTCTCCGTGCGCAAGAGAGGTACTCGCCTCAACGGTGCTTTGCTACCAGCTCCAAGAAGGGCAGTACAAACACGCTCCCTTTCTTACAAAAGGATACATCCTTATTCTCTTCATTATAGCACCCATACCTGGTGGCCACATAGATCTGAAGCGACAGCTCCAGTGTTTTGACCACTGTCTGTGGCCGATGAAAGTTGAGGTCGAAAAATTTCTGGAACACACCAGATGGGGAAGCTTGGATTGTAAATTTAAGATAAGGATCAAATAGCCCATTCACAGTGGACAACCAGTTGTCTATGGGAAATCCACACGATTACAATACATAATGGTATACAGAGGCTGGCTGCTTCTGAGACTGAAGGCACCGTATGGCCCTCTTGATAACCTTAAGTTCCACAGATTCGTCTAATCCGCTTTTAAAGCCATTCCAACTGGTGGCTATTGGTACACCTGTAGTAGTGAAAACCATAAGTTCCATGTATTGCTTCACTAGCTTAGTAATCAGGAGAACCATGCAGGGTTAGACCAAAGGCCTATCAAGCTCACATCCTCTTTCCCACCACAGACAACCAGGAATCCCACAAGCAGGACGTGAGCAAACAGCACCTTCCCACCTATGTTCCCCAGCGACTGGAGCACGGGAATATTACCTCCGTAACTGGAAGTCACATAGAGCCTTCTAGACGAGCAGCCCTTGGCATCCCCTTCTCCAGAGTCCTTGTGCAGGCCGCCCTTCAGTCCATCCAAGTTGGTGGCCACTGGCACGTCTTGCGGTAGCTAATTCTAGAAGATGTCCTTTCTTTCAGCTGCCCTTCAGCTTCATCGGGTGACATGGCTGGTTTCTAGCGTTACGGGCAAAAGGAGATGGCAAGTGACATGAGAAGCGCACCCCCCTTTTCACACACGGAGCAATGCCTCCCAGGCATCCATGCATCTTACCATGGGAGCCTCCACCAACTAAAATGCTCTAGAACCGTTGTTATTGCAGAAGATTATAAGAAGAACCACCCTGGGTTGGACCAAGGGACTATCAAGCCCAGCATTCTGCTCCCATGAAAAACCAATACGTAGGACATGAGCACCACAGCACTCTCTCACCCATGTTCCCCAGCAACTACTGGATGTAGGCATACTGCCTCAGGTACTGGAGGTAGCCAACCATCAAGATGACAAGCCAGTTCTAGCCTTCTCCTCCACAGAACTGGCCAACCACCTTTCCAACTCCCCCAAATTGGGGTTCAACACCACATCCTGTTGAAATGAATTCCATAGTTTTATGGAATTGTTTCCTTTTGGCTATCCTGACTCTCCCAGCTTCAAGGGATGGCCCCACTGGGCTCAAGTATTATGAAACAGGGAGAATAACAGTCCTCAATCCAATTTCTTCCAAACCATGCCCAGTTTTGCACACTTCCAACACGTCTTTCCTCACATGCTGGTTTCCCAAGCCTAACCTTTGACGTGACATTCACACGCCACTAAGTTTACATCTTGCACGAGTCTTGAGCTCATTCAGTGGGGTGAGAGAAGGCAAAATCTCTCAGCCTCAGCACCCCCCCCCCCCATGAAACAGTAACACTGGATAACCAAGAAAGCATGTGTGAAGTTTGGGTCATATTTAAGAGCTACAGAAATTCCAGGTATAGTTACTCCCTATTTTAGTTACTTTTCATCCCCGGGTGACGACTTCAGGGTCACAACCGCATTGGATGCTCAGTACCTAAAACCTAACATCTGATAAAGAACATCCCCTACTTCATCTGTTGAATAAAGATGCCAGAAAAATACAGAAGTCATTATTACTGAAAACTCCAAAAGATGCCCACGCTTTCATGTCTGTGCTTGGAGAAGCAAGACCCCCGATGAGGGGAATATTGAAAACAGGGTACCCACGCGGCCTGCTTTGAAAATTAAAGTTGGTTCTACAAAAGGGCCAGTCAGCAGGTCTCTGGGCAAAAAAAGCAAGTGGGAATGGTAATTGAAGTGCCTGAAAATGTGCTGAGAAAAGCAGCTCCTTCTACAGGTGGGTGGGAGAGGTTTTGTTCACTTCAATTACTGGTGGATCTGGCTGACGATGGGAAAAGTGTGATTCCAGGAATAGCTGCGTGTTGTGTGGACAGGCGAGCCAGTTCCTGAGATCAGCCCCTGGCTACGGGGCTCAGAAACTCTCCCACGAGGAAAGCTGACAAGTCTGAGGCTTCTTAGCTGAAGGGAAAGGGGGAAAACCCCCAGAAAGGGAAGGGGTGTCAGTGAGCATTTGTCATACTGAATTACATGGAGGTTTCAAGCCTCTCTTACCTGAAGGGCTGGACTTGGATTCCATCACACAGAAGCTCCTGGGGGGTCAAGCTGAAGTGTGGGTGGTCCCGAAGGCCAGGAACGGCACTCCAAATGCCAGCGATATCTTAGCTTATCTTGAGCACCGAATGACCTTAACAGGAGCATTCCAGCCTGTCCGAATGGAGAAAAAACAGCAGAAAACTCAGAAAATTACCAAGTGACAGATGGTTTGGGGAAAGCAGGAGGGTGAGGAAGCGGGCATGGCTCCCTGGGACCCCCGGGTGCCAAAGGGGGAGCCTGGCTTCAGAGCCCCGGAGCAGCAAAGAAGGGCATGAGAATGTAAGAAGAGCTCTGCCTGGTCCGGAGTGGCCAACCAGCCGCTACAGGAAACCCACCGAGTTCCCCAGCAGTGGGTGCAAACAGGCCGTGCTGTGAGAGCTAGTGAGGGGCTACCTCGAGCAGGGGCCGTGGCTAGTCTTCCCCTCCATGCCAGATCAGGCCCACGCCCATCCACCCCAGCACTCTGCACACACAGAGGCCACCCGGCCACCCGGAGGACTCCCATAAGCAGGACAGGAGTGCAACACCCATTCTCCCCGCTGTGTCCCCCAGGGGTGCACAGGTGTCCTGGCTCTGACACTGGGGGGGGGGGGGTGGCACAGAGCCCTGAGGACTAGCAGCTGTCGCTACCTCGCATTGCCTTCTCTCTCATAACACCAGAATCCATGCCGGTAAATGATACCAAGGGGCAACAGTCCCTGAGCTGAAGAAGAGGGAGCGTTTCCTTCACACAAGCACTGGCTTAGGGACCAGCAAGGTCTGTCGGCCATACAGTGGCACGCAAGGGCATACTAAGGCTGCCAAGGCTGCTGGGTCAAGGTATCCACTCCAGGTTTTAGCCTCCACTTTTAAGGATCAATCCATGGTGCTAAACCAGAATCTCTTTTCCCAGTTCAGCACCATGGACAGCTCCTTTAAAGTTCAGAGTGAAGCCCAGCAGGCACACAGGCACCGGTCTCCAACGCGTACATGGCTGATGCCGGAGGACACATCTGCAAGAGCCGCGATTTGCCTCGATAGCCTGCTCCATGGAATCTCTGTCTGCAGAAGCCTGCAAGAGCCAGATGGTGGCTACAAATGCGCCCACCACCTGATCGCCCCCTTCTGGTGAGTTTCTGGAGGCCTCTGGCGGGCCTTCTGCTGGAAGTAGAAGGCAGGGCTTGATGGCGCTTGGCCTGAGCCAGAAGCACTGCTCCTCACCGGAACTGATCCACCCTGAACTCTGGTCCTGCTGGGAGTGGATGTCTCAGGTGAGATGGAAAGAGGAAAAAATATAATTTGGATCCAGGCTGGAGCAGGAAGTAGGGAAAGACCTTGGGCAAGGCCAGAGAGGTCTGGCAACAAGGAAGCTGAGGCTGGAACGAGGGGCCGGACAGGGCCTCGGGAACGTTGCCCAGGGTGGGGGAAGGAGAAGACCTGTGGTAGAGGCGGGGAGAGCTGGGGACCAGCTGGGGCAGAGCCGTGGCTGGGTGGCACCGTGGCTGGCCCAGACTCACGGGAAGATAAATCCGTGAGAGTAACTTAAGACCGGGTGCACTGCACTACTCTAGCCTTTACGGCAGCAGGGCAGCCGTTTGGAAACACAATTCAGAATCTATTAACATTCTGAGTGCTCATCAGAGGGGGGGTGATTAAGAAGGGAAAACACACCCGTCGTTTCCACACATGCACATCGGCAGCAGCCCGAGTTGCGATTCTTCTAACCAGCCCAGCAAGTTGGAGTTCTTCTGGCTGTGGGTGAATCCACACATGGAGGTAGGCTTGTCCCTGCCGTGGACACAATGAGCATGTGCCAGAAGCAGCATAAGGTTAAAACAAAAGAATAAAACAAAGCTATCAAAAATTTAGAAGCAAAATAGCCTAAGACTAAAGGGCATGCCCAGTGCCATAAAGTCTAGAATGTGCTATCCAAATTTTGCCACTCCTCATGAATAATAATTCCACCAGACCAGGCAAAGACCTGGAAGCATTCTGAACGGACCGGTCAGTCTTCTGTTAAGCCTGACCACGAACCCATTTGGCCCGGAATGCTTTTCTTTAATGGTCATTGTCCTCCGGAGATCCAGGCAGGAGGAGGCCTTCCCTAGCTTGCCCCAGCGATGCCCAGCGTACAAACGGCACGTGGCATCTCTGAGCCACAGTCCTTGCAAGTGGTGGGGCTGGGGGGTAGACTGCCTGGACTCGCAGAGCCATGCTGGAGCCTGAAGGGGAGGGGGCCCGCACCCCCCGCCCGGCGGTGTGGTCTCGAGCGGCCCTGAGTGGCCCATGGGAGGCCCATGGCCGGAGGGGCCTCGGCACGCTTCAAGGCAGCAGCCCTTCTGGCTTTGCTCCCGCAGGACGGGGTGCCTCGTGCTCCCGAGGTGCAAAGGGGCCTTTCACAGGGAAGGGACACGATTACAGAGCTGGCCTTTCAGCGCCTGACAATTTACCCTTTTCAGTGGCGAGGGAAATAGGAACGAGCACCAGCCTTAAGGGCAAGATGGCAGGAAGCGGGAGGAAGCTGCTCAAGGAGGCAGCCAATTTAGCTCGCAGAAAAGCACAGCCGCGTTAAAGATCCCCTTGTTAAGCAGCAAAACCCAACATGCAAATAGCAGGGCGAGATGAGGCCTTTTAGGTCAAGGTACATCCTGTGCCAGGCAAGCACAGACCCGGGCGAATTTTCACTCCAGAGGTGCACAATGAAAGGAAATTGGCCGGAGGCGCTGCCTGGAGGGGCAGACCAGCCCCAGCTCGCCCTGAGAGACCACCAAAGGGCCGGCAGTGCTTTTCAACTCAAGAGTTGCGGAATGCGCTTCGTTTAATGGGACGGTCGTTAATCGAGGCGCCCTTTTTGCAGGGCTGGCCCTCCGATCGAGTCAAGCAAGGCCACTCGTTTAGGCAGTGGAAGTTCTGTGCTGCAGAAGGGAAGTCGTTACTCATTAACTTAATATTGTTGGCATTGCATTTTTACTGCCGAATACAGGGAGAGGTAGCTGCATTAGGCAACAAAATACTTTGGCCCTTCACCTCAAAGAGGTTCTATTTCCCCGCTCTAAAACGTGGATGAGGATCCTTGATTGCTTCACAGTCAGCAGAGTTTTGCATAATGCATCAGAGTCAAACTCAAACTCAAAAACAAGTAAGTTACGAAATGTCAGTGAAGAAATCAGGCTGAGCAGACTGGCTAAAAAATGAGAAATTATTTAACAAACCATTAATATCTGATGGCTGTACTGAAAAATATATTTGATTAATTAAAATAGCTCAACGACCTGTATGATGATCTGTTGAGATAAAGAGCTTTCTATTATCTTGCGCTACCTTGAATTTAACACTGCAATATGTCACGAAGTAACAAGAAATAGAACTTTGCTTGAAAGGAAGGTGCCTGTAATAAAGGGGCTGGGGTATGGAGAGCTTAAATCCACATGGAATGGACGTGCCAAATGAACCGTCGCCTCCTGGCATCTAATGGGACCATGGCACCCTTGTGACATTGGCCACAATGATGCTCCTCAAGCATCTGGAGAGGACCGAGTGGCGAGCCCAACTCCTGGACCTTTGGCTGGTGTTCCTAGGTGAATGGAGGCAGGATGGCAGGGGAGCTGCCTCTAGGCATTGTGGGTATATCCTCCCACAAGCTAGCTTCTTGCTTGTCTCTCTGGCCAACTCTCCATTGGCAGTGATGGATAGAGGCAAAGTCTCAGGCTCCAAAGTGATTAAAGACTCCCGTTCTCTTCTCTAGCTTGGCAACCACCAAGAGGTACCGGGCAGCTGTTCAAGCCGCAATAAAAATTGAGGTATTTTGTGTTTGTTTCACTTAAAAAATAAACAATTCCTCACATCTGATGAGCAAGCAATTTCGTAAATGCTGCAGAGCAAACAGGACACGGGAGCTTAACCTTAACAGTTCCCAGAGAGTTTCTCTTGGCTGCGGCATGAAAAGGATGGAGGAAGCGCAAAGGTGAGCCAAGCTCCGTTGGGCAGAGCAGTCTGTACGAAGCATACGCAACCCAGAGTGAAATCCCCTTCTTACCCAGTTTCTGCTCCATAAGAGAAGGCTTTTATCTCATCCCGATTGCTATGTATAATCAGGAGTCTTTGGTGAGGGGCTTCAAGAACAGCCTTTGGAAAATCCAGGTCTGCCTTCCGGAGGACCTGATCCACATGCTTGATGCCAGACTCAAACAAAGTGAAAATGTTAGTAAAAACAGACTTATTTATGTAGATTCCTGTGGATTCTACTTCAGCAAGCTGTCATTTCGGATATTTGAAGATGTTATTTGTAATGATGTTTTCCATGAATTTATCTGGAATAATTTATCTGAAACAGGCAGCATGCTTTTGTTAGAATGTCAGCCATTTCACGTCTGAGTTCCTTTAAAATGCTTGGAGGGTTACTCTTTGGATGTGGTTTGTTCTCAGTCTGCCAATCAGTTCTAGAATTTCATCCTATTGCTGGCAGTGAAAACAGATGCAAAGAATTCCTGTGGCTTTTCGGCAACCTCCTTATTCTCCGCTAACACACCTTTAGCTCCCTGATTACCCAGCTTTCCTTCCTTCCTTCCTTCCTTCCTTCCTTCCTTCCTTCCTTCCTTCCTTCGTCTGCATTCCCTTTTGTCCTCCTCACTTCAGCACAGCTTCCATTTTCTGAAGGATGCCTTCTTTTCATGAACAGCTTTTGGGATACCGCTGATTTGGGAGACCTCTGGGACCAGTTAAGGCATGTCCTGACCTGTAGGATACACTTGGATGGAGCTTCAAATACTCTGGTATGAGTGACTGCAAGAGTTCCGCCATGATTCAACCTGGTGATTTTTCAAATCCCTTGTTTTACCAAGAGAAGGGAAGGGAAGGGAAGTATCTGGATTTACAGGGCTTGGAACCCTCCGATTAAGTTTGCTGGATCACAGGCATACGTTTAACCTAAACTAAAAGGGAAAATCCACAGGCAAAAGTTACTCTCCTCCTTGTCCTTAAGGCTGAGCGGTCCCGGCTCATTTCCCCCGTGCAGCAGCTCCTCCAAGATCTCGGAGCTCTTGCGCTACCAGCATCGCGCCAAAGGGCACGGTTCCTGGCAGTTGCGCCCGTCTTTCTGCAGCTCTTCCAGGCCTCCCACAGGCCCTCCCGTGACCCCGTTACACAAGGCATGTCCATTACACCGAGACTTAATGTCTCCATCTCCAGCTATCTTTCACATGTTAGGGAAGTGAGAAACATGTCACTTTCTTATTCTCAGATCAGAACTGACTGGTTTGGGCAATCTGGAACATGCACAAGCTGAAAAGTACAGACTTTTGCCAAGACTGGGTTGTGAATACCAATTCCCTTTGTGATCTGTCTAGTAAAACACATAACACGATAAAGGGAACAGACTCCTACCCTGAACTTTCCACCACTTTGGGAAAGAGTGGCATATATAATACCCATTAGAGAATTATGACAAATGGTCTCTTTTTCACTTGGGAGAGTTACCAGACAGGAATGTCTGGTTTCTCTGTTGTTGTCAGTTTTATGGTTGGAGCGGCTGGTGTCTGCTATTGACAGAACAGCAGTATTTATAGCTTTCTGCATTATTGTTTAGAATTTAAATATTCTTTATGCTGATGGTCTTCCACTGTTTATCTCAAATCCCCAGTCATTTGTTCCAGCTTTGATGCAGTTGATCAATAGTTTGGTGATTTTCTGGCTATTTCGGGCTAAATTCTGAAGTGATGCGAACTGGAAAAAGTATTAACTGACTGGCAAATTCAGCCACCCCGGATCTCGTTAGAGAATATATTTGAGAATACTGATTGAGAATATATCTGAGAATACTGATTGCCAGAAATGTGCCTCAAAGGATCAAACTAAATTTGAATAAATTGATGGAGGAGATTTTTTTCAGGATATCCCTAGATGGAGTTTGCAGGATAGGGTAAATGCCCTTAGAATACTACAACTTTCATTGCTTATATTCAGGATATTACAACACTGAAATGATAAGCACTCACCTTCCACAATGGATTGAGGACTGAAGAACATTCAAACAGGTGGTATGAAGACAGACTTGCAAATCGGTACAGATATGGACATTTGGTTCATCTTTCTTAAGGTTGATCGCACACACGTTCCTGTGCATGGGTTGAAGATATATTTGAGTCTACACAGCTGCATTTTTTCTTTTCCTCTGTATGATTTTGTTGGAATTAAAAAATGCATGTTACATTCAGGAGCTCCATTTGCTTGATCCCAGGAAGGGCTGCCTCCGATCAGCCTCGTTACCTCCAGCTTTGCCATTCAATCTTGTCTGCATTGCTGGGATGCCAACAGTTAAACAACTTTCCCTATGCAAATGAGATTTAATTAATCCTTTTCATCACTTGCAAATATACCTTCTGAACCCTATTAACATCATGAATATGCAAATCATACCTTTTCAAGGACCCAGCACTGAGCTTGATTGTTGGATTCTAGTTAGCAGTCTGTAAACCTAGGTGAAAATTTAATTTCCATTTTAAGTTCCATACAAAAAAGAGAGGAATCTGTTCGTAATTAAGTTAATTACAGTGTTATACTGGAAGAGGAGACAAACAAGGAGGACAAGATCATTCATTATGCTTAATGCCAGCTAGGGAGCCAAAGGGTAGGATTGTGTCTGTCTGGAGTTAGCAAATTAAGCTGCGGTACATTTCCCCAGGCTGGGATCCCATTCAGAATTTTGTGGCCCAAATAATTGAGCTAGCCAAGTTTCCCCAAGTCCTTAGAACAGCATTTATCCATGAGTCCAGCCAAGACAATCTAGCCTTGAACCACCGTAGGGTTCAAAATGGGGCAGGGATAACGCAGGTGCTAGTTTTCCATGGCCAGGGAATCTCTGGTGAGCTAGAGCGTTCCAGGGAGCCCCCCCCCCCACCCCGCCATTCCTGCAAGCCGGCCAGAGCTGCACCTGTTTCCATGTTCTTGGCATGTGAACATGTCCCTCGGCGTCATTCCTGGCACTTCCTCATCTGTGAAATACTGCTGAACGCTTTGGCGAGGAAGGCCGCCTGACGCTCGCACTGAAATTATGGAAGACCATCCTACTATTCTACCTACGATTTCTGCAACGCGCTCTACGTGGGGCTGCCCTTGAAGACGGTCCGGATACTTCAGATGGGGCAAAACAGAGCAGCCAGGTTGCTGATGGGGACTGGGTGTTACTCTCATATAACCCCAGTCCTCTGCCAGCTTCACTGGCTTCCCATCGAAGTCCGGGCTCAGTTCAAGGTGCTGGTTATTACCTATAAAGCCCTTAACAGCTTGGGACCTGGATACCTGAAGGAACGCCTTCTTCCATATTTGCCCTCCCACCCCTTGAGATCGGCGGCAGAGGCCCTTCTCCGGGAGCCCTCCGTGAAAGATATTAGGAGGCAAAGTACCCGGAGGAGGGCCTTCTCTGCGGTGGCGCCCCACTTATGGAATGCGCTCCCCAGAGAGGTCCGCCTGGTGCCGTCGTTATTTGTTTTTCGGCGCCAGGCGAAGACCTTTTTATTTCAATGATATTTTAATAACTTTTAATATCAGTTTATAGGTTTTAATATGTAGCCAGGGTGGATCTGGATTTTATCTGTATTATGTTTTATTTTATTTAAGTAAGCCGTCCCGAGGCTATGTGATGGGACGGCATACAAATGCTCTAAATACATACATACATACATACATATGTACATACATACATACCACCAGCAGGCCACCACCGAGAAGGCCCTTCCCCATGTTGCCAGTCTCCAAGTCTCCCTAAGAGACCCTTGGAGGAAAGTCGACGCTGCTGCTTGTGTACAGGCCACGGGCTGGCTTCGCAGCAAGGCAATTCCCGGCCATGTACGCAGCCTAGCAGGAAAGGTCCGCAGCTCGCCGGCCGGCTGGACACACGCTGCCACACAGGCACGGGGGTCGCTGTTCTTCGCCTGCTGCCCAGTCTTCCCCGTAGCATGGCTTGAGTATAATTAAATAGGAAGCACCGTTATAAACGGTTAATTATGGTTTGCCACAGCAATAATCCCTGAAAATCGCCCATTAGCACGCTTAAGAACTATTTTGTATGTGGCATATTCTAATGAGTTAGCGTAGTTAACGAGTGATTTGTTAGAGCTATAATCCTCTCGAAACACCACCTCGGGGTTGTTAACGAACAAACAGCAGAGACTGAGAGAGTCATCTGCAGAGCCAACCGGGTTCAACGGCAAACTGAGGCAGAGCGACGAGGAGAGAGCTGGAGCCAGGCACCGGGCCAGGCTTGACGGGGCTTTGCACCCAGTGCCTCCGATGCTTGGTCCGCCTACGCTTCATCCCACTGGGGTTACGCCTGGCCACTCTTCAGACCAAATTATTTTATTTCAATCCCCACCTGACAGCTGGGACAGAACAGATTTGACATAACTATACGGGTGGGTTTATTAAATCCACACAGAAAAGATGGAGAGAAAAGAGAGATGTTATCTGGGGACCATTTATCAGCCCTGCTCACTCCAACGTGTCTGACATTATGGGTTATTTTATTTGACTGTCTTCCTTCCCCCTTCTCTTCCCATCTTTTTCGAGAAAGAAAAATTCCAATCATCTTAGAAACTGTCATTTTAAAGCATAATAGTTCAAAGCCTCCACCAGTTCCCTAATGCAAGGGAGTGGGCAGATCTCGGGACTGAGAAATGTGCTGTGCTCTGTACGAGAACTCGAGTCCACCAGGCAGAGCCGAGTCGCTCCACGTCAGACCACCGGAGTCCTGTTCTGGTCTGGGGGCTCCCTTGCAAAGACACCACGCCCCCCGCCCACGGCGAGTCCACCTTCTCTGTTCCCCCTCACCTCCATCCTCACTGCCACGGCTGCCTGGGCCAGAGTACATGACAGCTGAACCCATATGTTGCTGTGAGGAAGAGGAGGAGCAAGACCAGGAAGGTCTTGGCACATGAGCCCATGCACGTGTTGCGCAAGTGAGGTTCCTCTTTCTAGCACATGACCTGCTTGACCTGGAAGGCCGGAGAACGCAGAACACTGGAGCCCTGCAAAAGAGCGGGCGGCCAGAGCAGGCAGGGGTCTTCAAGGGGGTGGAGGACAGGGGAGAAACGACGCCGGAAGCTCACCCAGGGAAGGGTGAGCGGGAAGCTGCGAGCCTTTGCCCAAGGCAGGCAACCTTAGAAGGAGGCTGACGTCACAAAGAGCTTGAGCAGCCACTGTTCCGGGGGGCCTGGGACCGACGGGGCACCGTCTACCGAGTTCTTCTGTGCAGCCCCACTGAAACAAGCAGGACCGGCATGCAGCCGCGGGAGGCGATGCGTCTGAGGCATCAGCGACCAATCCAATCGAGTTAATTGCCGAGCTGGAGAGGGGAGTGAGGGGTGGAAAATCGCCTTCTCAGTCCCTGCAGGCAATCAGCCGGCTCCTTCAAGCATGAGAACCAATTGCCCTTATTATTTTAAGCTTGCATTGCAGCAAACGCTCCTACTGGTCATAAAATTACCCAGTCCTTATTTAAACCCAGCTCCTGTCTGTGTCAGGATGACCTCCCGAAGGGCCTTGCCAGCATGCCAGCACAGGGGAAAACGGGAAGAGGAGTCCGGAAGCCTCGGAGCAGGAAGGGACATGGCAGGTGGGGTGGATCCAAGACGGAGCCGGGAGAGCAGGAGAGAGAGAAGGCGCGCCAAGGCGGAAGAAGAGAAGCAAGGATCACCTTGGCAGATCTCAAGAAGGGCGCATGAGAACACGACCTGGGCATGGAGAGCACCCGCCTGCAGCCATAATGGGGGGAGGCAGAAGACAGCTATTTCGGGGAGGGGAGGGGAGGGGCTTTGCTCCACCATAGGATACTTTTTCCATCCCCGAGAAGCTTCTGTTTCATTTCCTTGTAGGTGGGCAATACCACCAAGGCCATTTTGCTCCATAGGATCTTCCAAGCTACCCGGTTTATGGCTCTTGCAAGGCCGGCCAGCCGGCCAAAACAGCTGCGTGACTGCTGATGTTCCCTGCTCCACGGTCAAAGGAAGAGGCAGGGATATTCGCCTGGTGATGACGGTCCATCACTTGGCAGGTCCTCCTAGCCGTTGGCACAAGGACAGGAAGGGGGGGATTCTCCACAGGCGTGTGATGTCGGGTGATGTCCCTACGGAGAGAGGAGCAAGCTGTCTGGCTTGCAGGGTTGCTATACACCCTTAAAGTCCCAAATTGAAGCAAATGGTGGGGACACGAGATGGAAGTTCTCAATCTGATTGACTAATTGGGAAGTTAAGAAATCGCCAGGCACAGAAAGTATCCATCTTAGTGTTCTTAGAGAACTCCAACTGATCTTGAACTTAAGATCAGCTCTGCACCAGAGGACAGGGGACTGGCCAGGACAAGATCCATTCTTCAAAGGGGATCAAGGGAAGATCCAAGAAATTACAGTCCACTTGGTTCTGTGAGGAAAGAATGAGCATGGCTTCCACTAAGTAGGTTAAGTCTTGCTAACTTCCGAGAATTCTTGGAGTCAGTAAAGATGTGAACGGAAGACATGGCTCGGCTGGACTTCCAAAGGGTTTTGACACAATCCTTCACCAAAGATACCTGAACAAACTCAACCGTCATAGAAGAAGGTGTGTGTTCTTATGGATCAGCAGCTAATGCGCTGAAGGTGTTAAATAGGAATAAATGCGAAATATATTCCTCCGAAAGAGGAATGGAAACAGGAGTCCCACAGAGATCTGAACTAGGACCAATTTATTTCTGAAGGATCTGGAATGAGGAGCAAGCAGGGAAGTGGTTGAGTTTGCTGATGATACCAAATTATTTAGGGTGGTTCAAACAAAAAGGGATTGTGAGGAACATCAAAAGAAGAAACTGGGAAGGTGGGCATCAAAATGGCAAAGGCGGCTCAGTATAAGCAAGGGTAAAGTAATACAACTTGGGTTCTCTCTCTCTCTCTCTCTCTCTCTCTCATAATGCTAGAATCCAGAGAACTCATCCTATGAAGCTGATGCATGGAAGAATCAGGACAGAGAAAAGCTGAACTGTAGAATTTATTCCCACAAGATGTAGCGATTTATTTATTTTTCCATTTCTATCCTGCCTTTTTCCTACAAAGGGCTCAAGGCAGCTTACATCATTCTCCTCCTCCATCTTATCCCCACAACAACAACCCTGTGAGGTAGGTTGGGCTGAGAGTCTGTGACTGGCCCAAAGTCCCCCAGTTGGCTCCATGGCCGAGCGGGGACTCGAACCCAGATCGTCTGAGTCCCAGTCCCATGCTCTTAACCACTACGCCACACTGGCTCTCATGTTCCCTGGCTGGCGGTGGAGGCTGATGTCCACCTCTCTTCAGTTTTGAGAATAGCAGAGATGCTCAGCTAATCATGTAGGGGCCCTGACTGCTCTCTAGAGAACCACAAGAAGTTTACTCTGAAGTTGGAACTGGAAATATGAACTTCCCAGCCTCCTTCTGGCTGCACAGCCAGTCGGGAGAACTTGCTGCTGGTCTGTGGGTACAAGAGGGGCCTTGAAGAGGTGCTTTTAAAAAATGTCTTAACCATGACATCACACTGATGGCCACTAATTTGGAAGACTTTCACAGGGTTTTGAATAAATTCATGGAGAGCACGGCTACCAATGGCTCCTCGTGATGCTTGGCTGTATGCCATTTGCAGGCACCTGTGAG